GGAGTGGTAGAGCTGCCTCGTCTCCCTGGACGAGTTCTACACCACGTGGTGAGTCACGTGGGGGGGTGAGAGAGACACGTGGTGAGTCACGTGGTGGGTGAGAGAGACACGTGGTGAGTCACGTGGTGGGGGGGGGAGTGGTAGAGCTGCCTCGTCTCCCTCGACGAGTTCTACACCACGTGGTGAGTCACGTGGGGGGGGTGAGAGAGACACGTGGTGAGTCACGTGGTGGGGTGAGAGAGACACGTGGTGAGTCACGTGGTGGGTGAGTGAGACACGTGGTGAGTCACGTGGTGGGGTGAGAGAGACCCGTGGTGAGTCACGTAGTGGGTGAGTGAGACACGTGGTAAGTCACGTGGGGGGTGAGAGAGAGACGCGGTGAGGCCACGCCGTGAAGTGGAAGTAGTAGAGCTGCCTCGTCTCCCTGGACGAGTTCTACACCACGTGGGGAGTCACGTGGGGGGGTGAGAGAGACACGTGGTGAGTCACGTGGTGGGTGAGAGAGACACGTGGTGAGTCACGTGGTGGGGGGGGGAGTGGTAGAGCTGCCTCGTCTCCCTGGACGAGTTCTACACCACGTGGTGAGTCACGTGGTGGGGTGAGAGAGACACGTGGTGAGTCACGTGGGGGGGGTGAGAGAGACACGTGGTGAGTCACGTGGTGGGTGAGAGAGACACGTGGTGAGTCACGTGGTGGGGTGAGAGAGACACGTGGTGAGTCACGTAGTGGGTGAGTGAGACACGTGGTAAGTCACGTGGGGGGTGAGTGAGACACGTGGTAAGTCACGTGGGGGGTGAGAGAGACACGTGGTGAGGCCACGCCGTGAAGTGGAAGTGGTAGAGCTGCCTCGTCTCCCTGGACGAATTCTACACCACGTGGGGAGTCACGTGGTGGGGGGTGAGAGAGACACGTGGTGAGTCACGTGGGGGGGTGAGAGAGACACGTGGTGAGTCACGTGGTGGGGTGAGAGAGACACGTGGGGAGTCACGTGGGGGGGTGAGAGAGACACGTGGTGAGTCACGTGGGGGGTGAGAGAGACACGTGGTGAGTCACGTGGTGGGTGAGAGAGACACGCGGTGAGTCACGTGGTGGGGTGAGAGAGACACGTGGGGAGTCACGTGGGGGGGTGAGAGAGACACGTGGTGAGTCACGTGGGGGGTGAGAGAGACACGTGGTGAGTCACGTGGGGGGTGAGAGAGACACGTGGTGAGTCACGTGGGGGGTGAGAGAGACACGTGGTGAGTCACGTGGTGGGGGGTGAGAGAGACACGTGGTGAGTCACGTGGTGGGGGGTGAGAGAGACACGTGGTGAGGCCACGCCGTGAAGTGGAAGTGGTAGAGCTGCCTCGTCTCCCTGGACGAGTTCTACACCACGTGGGGAGTCACGTGGTGGGGTGAGAGAGACACGTGGTGAGTCACGTGGTGGGGAGGGAGGGGTAGAGCTGCCTCGTCTCCCTGGACGAGTTCTACACCACGTGGTGAGTCACGTGGGGGGTGAGGGAGACACGTGGTGAGTCACGTGGTGGGGGGGAGTGGTAGAGCTGCCTCGTCTCCCTGGACGAGTTCTACACCACGTGGTGGGTCACGTGGTGGGGGGTGAGAGAGACACGTGGTGAGTCACGTGGGGGGTGAGCGAGACACGCGGTGAGGCCACGCCGTGAAGTGGAAGTGGTAGAGCTGCCTCGTCTCCCTGGACAAGTTCTACACCACGTGGTGAGTCACGTGGTGGGGGTGAGAGAGACACGTGGTGAGTCACGTGGTGGGGTGGGGAGTGGTAGAGCTGCCTCGTCTCCCTCGACGAGTTCTACACCACGTGGGGAGTCACGTGGTGGGGTGAGAGAGACACGTGGTGAGTCACGTGGTGGGTGAGAGAGACACGTGGTGAGTCACGTGGGGGGTGAGAGAGACACGTGGTGAGTCACGTGGTGGGGGGTGAGAGAGACACGTGGTGAGTCACGTGGTGGGGGGTGAGAGAGACACGTGGTAAGTCACGTGGTGGGTGAGAGAGACACGTGGTGAGTCACGTGGGGGGGGGGGGGTGAGAGAGACACGTGGTGAGGCCACGCCGTGAAGTGGTAGAGCTGCCTCGTCTCCCTGGACGAGTTCTACACCACGTGGGGGGTGAGAGAGACACGTGGTGAGTCACGTGGGGGGTGAGAGCGACACGTGGTGAGTCACGTGGTGGGTGAGACACGTGGTGAGTCACATGGGGGGGGGGGTGAGAGAGACACGTGGTGAGTCACGTGGGGGGGGGGGGGTGAGAGAGACACGTGGTGAGTCACGTGGTGGGGGGTGAGAGAGACACGTGGTGAGTCACGTGGTGGGTGAGAGAGACACGTGGTGAGTCACGTGGTGGGGGGTGAGAGAGACACGAGGTGAGTCACGTGGTGGGGAGAGAGACACGTGGTGAGTCACGTGGTGGGTGAGAGAGACACGTGGTGAGTCTCGTGGGTGGGTGAGAGAGTCACGTGGTGAGTCACGTGGTGGGTGAGACACGTGGTGAGTCACATGGGGGGGGGGGTGAGAGAGACACGTGGTGAGTCACGTGGGGGGGGGGGGGGTGAGAGAGACACGTGGTGAGTCACGTGGTGGGGGGTGAGAGAGACACGTGGTGAGTCACGTGGGGGGTGAGAGAGACACGTGGTGAGTCACGTGGTGGGGGGTGAGAGAGACACGAGGTGAGTCACGTGGTGGGGAGAGAGACACGTGGTGAGTCACGTGGTGGGTGAGAGAGACACGTGGTGAGTCACGTGGTGGGTGAGACACGTGGTGAGTCACATGGGGGGGGGGTGAGAGAGACACGTGGTGAGTCACGTGGGGGGGGGGGGGTGAGAGAGACACGTGGTGAGTCACGTGGTGGGGGGTGAGAGAGACACATGGTGAGTCACGTGGGGGGTGAGAGAGACACGTGGTGAGTCACGTGGTGGGGGGTGAGAGAGACACGAGGTGAGTCACGTGGTGGGGAGAGAGACACGTGGTGAGTCACGTGGTGGGTGAGAGAGACACGTGGTGAGTCTCGTGGGTGGGTGAGAGAGACACGTGGTGAGTCACGTGGTGGGTGAGAGAGACACGTGGTGAGTCACGTGGTGGGGGGTGAGAGAGTCACGTGGTGAGTCACGTGGTGGGTGAGAGAGACACGTGGTGTATCACGTGGTGGGTGAGAGAGACACGTGGTGAGTCACGTGGGTGGGTGAGAGGGACACGCGGTGAGTCACGTGGTGGGTGAGAGAGACAAGTGGTGCGTAACGTGGTGGGTGAGAGAGACACGTGGTGAGTGCTGGTGAGTGTTGGTGAGTGTTGGTGAGTGTTGGTGAGTCCTGGTGAGTGCTGGTGAGTGTTGGTGAGTGTTGGTGAGTGTTGGTGAGTGCTGGTGAGTGTTTGTGAGTGCTGGTGAGTGTTGGTGAGTGTTGGTGAGTGTTGGTGAGTGCTGGTGAGTGTTTGTGAGTGCTGGTGAGTGTTGGTGAGTGCTGGTGAGTGTTGGTGAGTGCTGGTGAGTGTTTGTGAGTGTTGGTGAGTGTTTGTGAGTGCTGGTGAGTGTTGGTGAGTGCTGGTGAGTGTTGTTGAGTGTTGGTGAGTGTTTGTGAGTGTTGGTGAGTGTTTGTGAGTGGTGGTGAGTGCTGGTGAGTGTTGGTGAGTGCTGGTGAGTGTTTGTGAGTGTTGGTGAGTGTTGGTGAGTTTTGGTGAGTGTTGGTGAGTGTTGGTGAGTCTCACACTGATGACCCTGAGGCTCCTGACTGTCCACTCCGGATTCTCGTCGCTCCACACGAGCACCACGGAGTGGTGAGTGGTGGTGAGTGTTGGTGAGTGTTGGTGAGTGTTGGTGAGTGCTGGTGAGTGCTGGTGAGTGTTGGTGAGTGTTGGTGAGTCTCACACTGATGACCCTGAGGCTCCTGACTGTCCACTCCGGATTCTCGTCGCTCCACACGAGCACCACGGAGTGGTGAGTGTTGGTGAGTGTTGGTGAGTGTTGGTGAGTGTTGGTGAGTGCTGGTGAGTGCTGGTGAGTGTTGGTGAGTGTTGGTGAGTGTAGGTGAGTGTTGGTGAGTGGTGAGTGCTGGTGAGTGTTGGTGAGTGTTGGTAAGTGTAGGTGAGTGTTGGTGAGTGGTGAGTGCTGGTGAGTGTTGGTCAGTGCTGGTGAGTGGTGGTGAGTGTTGGTGAGTGTTGGTGAGTGGTGGTGAGTGTTGGTGAGTGTTGGTGGGTGGTGGTGAGTGGTGAGTGTTGGTGAGTGGTGGTGAGCGGTGGTGAGCGGTGGTGAGTGCTGGTGAGTGTTGGTGAGTGTTGGTCAGTGGTGGTGAGTGTTGGTGAGTGTTGGTGAGTGCTGGTGAGTGCTGGTGAGTGTTGGTGAGTGGTGGTGAGTGTTGGTGAGTGGTGTGGTGGTGAGTGTTGGTGAGTGTTGGTGAGTGTTTGTGAGTGGTGGTGAGTGTTGGTGAGTGTTGGTGAGTGTTGGTGAGTGGTGGTGAGTGTTGGTGAGTGTTGGTGAGTGTTTGTGAGTGGTGGTGAGTGTTGGTGAGTGTTGGTGAGTGCTGGTGAGTGTTGGTGAGTGTTGGTGAGTTTTGGTGAGTGTTGGTGAGTGTTGGTGAGTCTCACACTGATGACCCTGAGGCTCCTGACTGTCCACTCCGGATTCTCGTCGCTCCACACGAGCACCACGGAGTGGTGAGTGGTGGTGAGTGTTGGTGAGTGGTGGTGAGTGTTGGTGAGTGTTGGTGAGTCTCACACTGATGGTGAGTGTTGGTGAGTGTTGGTGAGTCTCACACTGATGACCCTGAGGCTCCTGACTGTCCACTCCGGATTCTCGTCGCTCCACACGAGCACCACGGAGTGGTGAGTGGTGGTGAGTGTTGGTGAGTGTTGGTGAGTGTTTGTGAGTGTTGGTGAGTGTTGGTGAGTGTTGGTGAGTGTTGGTGAGTCTCACACTGATGACCCTGAGGCTCCTGACTGTCCACTCCGGATTCTCGTCGCTCCACACGAGCACCACGGAGATGTCGCCGTGGCTCAGGGTCGTGAGGTCCGACGGCCAATACTGCTCACAGGTCACCTGGGGGTCAGCGAGGGGGTCACCGGCGGGGTCAATGTGGGGTCACCGAAGGGGTCACTGTGGGGTCACCGCCGGGGTCACTGTGCGGTCACCGGCGGGGTCACTGTGTGGGTAGGGGTGGTGGTGGTGGTGGTGGGGGTGGTGGTGGGGGTGGTGGTGGTGGGGGTGGTGGTGGTGGTGGTGGTGGGGGTGGTGGTGGTGGTGGTGGGGGTGGTGGTGGTGGTGGTGGAGGTGTTAGGGGTGGTGGTGGTGGGGGTGGTGGTGGTGGTGGACGTGGTGGGGTGGTGGTGGCTGGGGTGTTGGTGGCGGTGGTGGTTTTGGTGGAGGTGTTGGGGGTGGTGGTGGTCGTAGTGGGGGTGGTGGTGGTGGGGGTGGTGGGATTGGTGGTGGGATTGGTGGTGGTGGTGGGAGTGGTGGTGGGATTGGTGGTGTTGGTGGAATTGGTGGTGTTGGTGGGATTGGTGGTGGTGGGGGTGGGAGTGGTGATGGGAGTGATGGTGGCTGGGGGGGTGGTGGTGGTGGTGGTGGGATTGGTGGTGGTGGTGGGATTGGTGGTGGTGGTGGGATTGGTGGTGGTGGAATTGGTGGTGTTGGTGGAATTGGTGGTGGTGGGGGTGGGAGTGGTGATGGGGGTGATGGTGGCTGGGGTGGTGGTGGTGGTGGGATTCGTGGTGTTGGTGGTGGTGGTGGGATTGGTGGTGTTGGTGGTGTTGGTGGGATTGGTGGTGGTGGTGTTGGTGGGATTGGTGGTGGTGGTGGTGGCTGTACTCAGCAATGGCGACTCACAGTGCCGCTCTCGTCCTCCGTGGCACTGCAGGCGGTCACCACGACGATCTGTGACACTCGCAGCTCCCAGATGAGACGCCAGAAGTCCGCCACCGTTCCCGACAGAGGGCTCTGGGTGGCGATGTACTCCTCGTCCGAGTTGAAGCCCTAGGGAAGACGGGGGGAGAGTGGGTGGGTGGGTGGGTGAGTGGGTGAGTGGGTGGGTGAGTGAGCGAGTGGGTGGGTGGGTGAGTGAGTGAGTGATTCGGTGAGTGAGTGGGTGAGTGAGTGGGTGGGTGGGTGGGTGAGTGGGTGTGTGGGTGAGTGATTCGGTGAGTGAGTGGATGAGTGAGTGGGTGGGTGGGTGGGTGAGTAGGTGGGTGGGTGAGTGGGTGAGTGGGTGGGTGAGTGATTCGGTGAGTGAGTGGGTGAGTGAGTGAGTGGGTGGGTGGGTGGATGAGTGAGTGAGTGGGTGGGTGGGTGGGTGAGTGAGTGGGTGAGTGGGTGGGTGAGTGAGTGGGTGAGTGAGTGAGTGGGTGGGTGGGTGGGTGGGTGAGTGAGTGAGTGAGTGGGTGGGTGGGTGGGTGAGTGAGTGGGTGAGTGGGTGAGTGGGTGAGTGAGTGGGTGAGTGAGTGAGTGAGTGAGTGAGTGGGTGGGTGAGTGGGTGAGTGAGTGGGTGAGTGGGTGAGTGAGTGTGTGGGTGGGTGGGTGGGTGAGTGGGTGGGTGAGTGAGTGAGTGAGTGGATGGGTGGGTGAGTGAGTGGGTGGGTGGGTGGGTGGGTGAGGGAGTGGGTGGGTGGGTGGGTGGGTGAGTGGGTGGGTGGGTGGGTGAGTGGGTGGGTGAGTGGGTGAGTGAGTGGGTGAGTGAGTGGGTGAGTGGGTGAGTGGGTGGGTGGGTGAGTGAGTGGGTGGGTGGGTGGGTGAGTGAGTGAGTGGGTGGGTGGGTGAGTGGGTGAGTGGGTGTGTGGGTGGGTGAGTGGGTGAGTGGGTGAGTGGGTGGGTGGGTGGGTGAGTGATTCGGTGAGTGAGTGGATGAGTGAGTGGGTGGGTGGGTGGGTGAGTGGGTGGGTGGGTGGGTGAGTGGGTGAGTGGGTGGGTGGGTGAGTGATTCGGTGAGTGAGTGGGTGAGTGAGTGGGTGGGTGGGTGGGTGAGTGAGTGAGTGGGTGAGTGAGTGGGTGAGTGGGTGGGTGAGTGAGTGGGTGAGTGAGTGAGTGGGTGGGTGGGTGGGTGGGTGAGTGAGTGAGTGGGTGGGTGGGTGGGTGAGTGAGTGGGTGAGTGGGTGAGTGGGTGAGTGAGTGGGTGAGTGAGTGAGTGAGTGAGTGGGTGGGTGAGTGGGTGAGTGAGTGGGTGAGTGGGTGAGTGAGTGAGTGGGTGGGTGGGTGGGTGAGTGGGTGGGTGAGTGGGTGGGTGGGTGAGTGAGTGAGTGAGTGGATGAGTGGGTGGGTGAGGGAGTGGGTGGGTGGGTGAGTGGGTGGGTGGGTGGGTGAGTGGGTGGGTGAGTGGGTGAGTGAGTGGGTGAGTGGGTGGGTGAGTGGGTGAGTGGGTGGGTGGGTGAGTGAGTGGGTGGGTGGGTGGGTGGGTGGGTGAGTGAGTGAGTGGGTGGGTGGGTGGGTGAGTGGGTGGGTGGGTGGGTGAGTGGGTGAGTGGGTGAGTGGGTGGGTGGGTGGGTGAGTGATTCGGTGAGTGAGTGGATGAGTGGGTGGGTGGGTGGGTGGGTGAGTGGGTGGGTGGGTGGGTGAGTGGGTGAGTGAGTGGGTGGGTGGGTGAGTGATTCGGTGGGTGAGTGGGTGAGTGAGTGGGTGGGTGGGTGGGTGAGTGAGTGAGTGGGTGGGTGGGTGGGTGGGTGGGTGGGTGAGTGAGTGGGTGAGTGGGTGGGTGAGTGAGTGGGTGAGTGAGTGAGTGGGTGGGTGGGTGGGTGAGTGAGTGAGTGGGTGGGTGGGTGGGTGAGTGAGTGGGTGAGTGGGTGAGTGGGTGAGTGAGTGGGTGGGTGAGTGGGTGAGTGAGTGGGTGAGTGGGTGAGTGAGTGAGTGGGTGGGTGAGTGAGTGGGTGGGTGAGTGGGTGGGTGGGTGAGTGAGTGAGTGAGTGGATGGGTGGGTGAGTGAGTGGGTGGGTGGGTGGGTGAGGGAGTGGGTGGGTGGGTGGGTGAGTGGGTGGGTGGGTGAGTGGGTGGGTGAGTGGGTGAGTGAGTGAGTGAGTGGGTGGGTGGGTGGGTGAGTGAGTGAGTGAGTGGGTGGGTGGGTGGGTGAGTGGGTGGGTGGGTGGGTGAGTGGGTGAGTGGGTGAGTGGGTGGGTGGGTGGGTGAGTGATTCGGTGAGTGAGTGGATGAGTGAGTGGGTGGGTGGGTGGGTGAGTGGGTGGGTGGGTGGGTGAGTGGGTGGGTGGGTGGGTGAGTGATTCGGTGAGTGGGTGAGTGAGTGGGTGGGTGGGTGGGTGGGTGAGTGAGTGAGTGGGTGGGTGGGTGGGTGGGTGAGTGAGTGGGTGAGTGGGTGGGTGAGTGAGTGGGTGAGTGAGTGAGTGGGTGGGTGGGTGAGTGAGTGAGTGGGTGGGTGGGTGGGTGGGTGAGTGAGTGGGTGAGTGGGTGAGTGGGTGAGTGAGTGGGTGAGTGAGTGAGTGAGTGGGTGGGTGAGTGGGTGAGTGAGTGGGTGAGTGGGTGAGTGAGTGAGTGAGTGGGTGAGTGGGTGAGTGGGTGGGTGAGTGGGTGGGTGGGTGAGTGAGTGAGTGAGTGGATGAGTGGGTGGGTGAGGGAGTGGGTGGGTGGGTGAGTGGGTGGGTGGGTGGGTGAGTGGGTGGGTGAGTGGGTGAGTGAGTGGGTGAGTGGGTGGGTGAGTGGGTGAGTGGGTGGGTGGGTGAGTGAGTGGGTGAGTGGGTGGGTGAGTGAGTGAGTGGGTGGGTGGGTGGGTGAGTGGGTGGGTGGGTGGGTGAGTGGGTGAGTGGGTGAGTGGGTGGGTGGGTGGGTGAGTGATTCGGTGAGTGAGTGGATGAGTGAGTGGGTGGGTGGGTGGGTGAGTGGGTGGGTGGGTGCGTGAGTGGGTGAGTGAGTGGGTGGGTGGGTGAGTGATTCGGTGGGTGAGTGGGTGAGTGAGTGGGTGGGTGGGTGGGTGGGTGAGTGAGTGAGTGGGTGGGTGGGTGGGTGGGTGGGTGAGTGAGTGGGTGAGTGCGTGGGTGAGTGAGTGGGTGAGTGAGTGAGTGGGTGGGTGGGTGGGTGAGTGAGTGAGTGGGTGGGTGGGTGGGTGAGTGAGTGGGTGAGTGGGTGAGTGGGTGAGTGAGTGGGTGGGTGAGTGGGTGAGTGAGTGGGTGAGTGGGTGAGTGAGTGAGTGGGTGGGTGGGTGAGTGGGTGGGTGAGTGGGTGGGTGGGTGAGTGAGTGAGTGAGTGGATGGGTGGGTGAGTGAGTGGGTGGGTGGGTGGGTGAGGGAGTGGGTGGGTGGGTGGGTGAGTGGGTGGGTGGGTGGGTGAGTGGGTGGGTGAGTGAGTGGGTGAGTGGGTGGGTGAGTGGGTGAGTGGGTGAGTGAGTGGGTGAGTGGGTGGGTGAGTGGGTGAGTGGGTGAGTGAGAGGGTGAGTGGGTGGGTGGGTGGGTGAGTGAGTGAGTGAGTGGGTGGGTGAGTGAGCGAGTGAATGAATGAACGAATGAATGAGTGAATGAGTGAATGAATTAGTGAATGAATGAGTGTATGAGGGAATGAATGAGTGAATGAATGAGTGAATGAATGAGTGAATGAATGAGTTGATGAATGAGTGAATGAGTGAATGAATGAGTGAATGAATGAGTGAATGAGTGAATGAATGAGTGAATGAGTGAGCGAGCTCTCCAGAAGGTGACCACCTTGATGTAGCTGGCGTTGATGTAGTCGGAGTTGGGAATTCCGGCGACCAGACTGAGCTTCACCCTCCACTGGTCGTCTGCAGGAGAGAGACAAAGGCGGAGAGGGGCAGAGGGGTTAGAGGTCATGGTTAGAGGTCAGGGTTAGAGGTCACGGTTAGAGGTCAGAGACTGCGTCCGGGGTGAGAGCCAGTGGAGATGGAACAGATGGAGATTAGTCCACACTCTCTGGAGTGAGATGGAACAGATGGAGATTAGTCCACACTCTCTGCTGTAGGAGGGAGTGAGATGGAACAGATGGAGATTAGTCCACACTCTCTGCTGCAGGAGGGAGTGAGATGGAACAGATGGAGATTAGTCCACACACTCTGCTGTAGGAGGGAGTGAGATGGAACAGATGGAGATTAGTCCACACACTCTGCTGTAGGAGGGAGTGAGATGGAACAGATGGAGATTAGTCCACACTCTCTGTTGTAGGAGGGATTGAGATGGAACAGATGGAGATTAGTCCACACACTCTGCTGTAGGAGGGAGTGAGATGGAACTGATGGAGATTAGTCCACACACTCTGCTGTAGGAGGGAGTGAGATGGAACAGATGGAGATTAGTCCACACACTCTGCTGTAGGAGGGAGTGAGATGGAACAGATGGAGATTAGTCCACTCTCTCTTCTGTAGGAGGGAGTGAGATGGAACAGATGGAGATTAGTCCACACACTCTGCTGTAGGAGGGAGTGAGATGGAACAGATGGAGATTAGTCCACACTCTCTGCTGTAGGAGGGAGTGAGATGGAACAGACGGAGATTAGTCCACACACTCTGCTGTAGGAGGGCGTGAGATGGAACTGATGGAGATTAGTCCACACTCTCTGCTGTAGGAGGGAGTGAGATGGAACAGATGGAGATTAGTCCACACCCCATCTGCGTGTGATCCACCAACCCTCGCTGCCACTGCTGCTTCCGCAGTGCTGGGTTAGAGACCACGTGCATCAGCAGCAGCGTAGCCACCACCACCACCACCACCACCGCCGCCACCACCACCACCGCCACCACCACCGCTACCACCACCACCACCACCGCTACCACCACCGCCGCTAACACCACCACCACTACTGCCATCGCCACCACATCCACCACCACCACCACCGCCGCTACCACCACCACCACCACCGCCGCTATCACCACCACCGCCACCACCACCACCGCCGCTACCACCACCACCGCCACCACCACCGCCGCTACCACCACCACCATCACCGCCACCACCACTGCCGCTACCACCACCACCGCCACCACCACCGCCACCACCACCGCCGCTACCACCACCACCGCCACCACCACCACCGCCATCACTGCCACCACCACCACCGCTAGTGAGTTGGTGATTGAGTTGGTGAATGAGTGAGTTGGTGAGTGAGTGAGTGTGTGAGTGAGTTGCTGAGTGAGTTGGTGAATGACTGAGATGGTGAGTGAGTGAGGTGGTGAGTGAGGTGGTGAGTGAGTTGGTGAGTGAGTGTGTGAGTGAGTTGGTGAATGAGTGAGATGGTGAGTGATTGAGTTGGTGAGTGAGTTGGTGAGTGAGGTGATGAGTGAGTTGGTGAGTACTCACAGGGCACGTATTCGGCAAAGCGATTCTTAGTGACGTTGTCTGGCAGTGAAGCCGTCAGCGTCGTCTGCTTGAGGTCTGTGGGCGGTAGTGCCTACACACACACACAGACAAAGGTCCCCCGTGTAGCCTCTAACATACTGTAGGGGCAAGTGCTGTGAGTAGCCGCAGCAGTGTCTATAGACACACAGACAAAGGTCCCCCGTGTAGCCTCTAGCAGGGGCAAGTGCTGTGAGTAGCAGCAGCAGTGTCTATAGACACACAGACAAAGGTCCCCCGTGTAGCCTCTAGCAGGGGCAAGTGCTGTGAGTAGCAGCAGCAGTGTCTATAGACACAGACAAAGGTCCCCCGTGTAGCCTCTAGCAGGGGCAAGTGCTGTGAGTAGCAGCAGCAGTGTCTATAGACACACAGACAAAGGTCCCCCGTGTAGCCTCTAGCAGGGGCAAGTGCTGTGAGTAGCAGCAGCAGTGTCTATGAAGGCGATCAGCACAGTGGGTACACGAGTGTGTTGTCAGCACCACGCCTGCCGTGCCTACAAAGATGAAGAACCCACGACCTCCTGTGTACCAGGCGAGGTAGTCAACATCTCCTAGCCACCGTGATGATGATGATGAGAGAGAGACACAGACTCCACATCTACAGCAGCAGCAGGCATCATCAGGGCCGGGATGGAACCCACGACCTCCTGTGTACCAGGCGAGGTAGTCAACATCTCATAGCCACCGTGATGATGATGAGAGAGAGACACAGACTCCACATAGACCTCCTGTAGACCAAGCGAGGTAGTCAACATCTCCTAGCCACCGTGATGATGATGATGAGAGAGAGACACAGACTCCACATAGACCTCCTGTAGACCAGGCGAGGTAGTCAACATCTCCTAGCCATCGTGATGATGATGATGAGACACAGACTCCGCATAGACCTCCTGTAGACCCGGCGAGGTAGTCAACATCTCATAGCCACCGTGATGATGATGATGAGAGAGACACAGACTCCACATAGACCTCCTGCAGACCAGGCGAGGTAGTCAACATCTCATAGCCACCGTGATGAAGAGAGAGAGACGCAGACTCCACATAGACCTCCTGTGTACCAGGCGAGGTAGTCAACATCTCATAGCCACCGTGATGATGATGATGAGAGAGACACAGACTCCACATAGACCTCCTGTGTACCAGGCGAGGGAGTCAACATCTCATAGCCACCGTGATGATGATGATGAGAGAGACACAGACTCCACATAGACCTCCTGTACACCGGGCGAGGTAGTCAACATCTCCTAGCCACCGTGATGATGATGATGAGAGACACAGACTCCACATAGACCTCCTGTACACCGGGCGAGGTAGTCAACATCTCCCAGCCACCGTGATGATGATGATGATGAGAGAGAGACACAGACTCCACATAGACCTCCTGTAGACCAGGCGAGGTAGTCAACATCTCCTAGCCACCGTGATGATGAGAGAGACACAGACTCCACATAGACCTCCTGTAGACCAGGCGAGGTAGTCAACATCTCCTAGCCACCGTGATGATGATGAGAGAGAGACACAGACTCCACATAGACCTCCTGTAGACCAGGCGAGGTAGTCAACATCTCATAGCCACCGTGATGATGATGATGAGAGAGACACCGACTCCACATAGACCTCCTGTGTACCAGGCGAGGTAGTCAACATCTCATAGCCACCGTGATGATGATGATGAGAGAGAGACACAGACTCCAAATCTACAGCAGCAGCAGTAGCAGGCATTCTCAGGGTCGGGATGGAACCCACGACCTCCTGTGTACCAGGCGAGGTAGTCAACATCTCCTAGCCACCGTGATGATGATGAGAGAGACACAGACTCCACATAGACCTCCTGTGTACCAGGCGAGGTAGTCAACATCTCCTAGCCACCGTGATGATGATGATGATGAGAGACACAGACTCCACATAGACCTCCTGTAGACCAGGCGAGGTAGTCAACATCTCATAGCCACCGTGATGATGATGATGAGAGAGAGACACAGACTCCACATAGACCTCCTGTGTACCAGGCGAGGTAGTCAACATCTCATAGCCACCGTGATGATGATGAGAGAGAGACACAGACTCCACATAGACCTCCTGTAGACCAGTCGAGGTAGTCAACATCTCATAGCCACCGTGATGAAGAGAGAGAGACACAGACTCCACATAGACCTCCTGTGTACCAGGCGAGGTAGTCAACATCTCCTAGCCACCGTGATGATGATGATGATGAGAGAGAGAGACACAGACTCCACATAGACCTCCTGTAGACCAGGCGAGGGAGTCAACATCTCACCGGCCCTGCCCACGCACCTGGAACTCGTGAGAGAGGCCGTGGCCGTGATCGTCGGACAACTTCAGGTAGCAGTCCGGGAAGCTGAGCAGGGGGTGGGGGTCACAGAGCACTGGGGTGAGCAGAGCGGTGTCTAGGGGGGGGGTGGTGGGTGGGGTGGTGGGTGGGGGGGTGATGGTGTGGGGTGGGTGTTGGTGGGTGGGTGGGGTAGGGGGTGGTTGGGGGGTGGTGGGTGGTGGGTGGGGGGGTGGTGGGTGGGGGGGTGATGGTGTGGTGTGGGTGTTGGTGGGTGGGGGGGTGGTGGGTGGGGTGATGGTGTGGTGTGGGTGTTGGTGGGTGGGTGGGGTAGGGGGTGGTTGGGGGGTGGTGGGTGGGGTGGTGATGGTGTGGGGTGGGTGTTGGTGGGTGGGGGGGTGGGTGGTGGGTGGGGTGGGTGTTGGTGGGTGGGTGGTGGGTGGGTGGTGGGGGGGTGGTGGGTGGGGGGGTGATGGTGTGGTGGTGTGGGTGTTGGTGGGTGGGGGGGGACCCATAGACTACTCACACGGAGACCCATAGACTCGCATAGAGAAGGGGGGGGGAGGGAGAGGGGGAGGGAGGGGGGGGTAGGGGGGAGGGAGAGGGGGAGGGAGGGGGGGTAGGGGGGAGGGAGGGGGGGAGGGAGAGGGGGTAGGGGGGAGGGAGGGGGGAGGGAGAGGGGGGGGAGAGGGAGGGGGGGGAGAGGGGGGGGGGAGGGAGAGGGTTCTTACTCGGCGATCAGAATCGGTGTCTTCACAAGCGGCCTGCAGAGAGACACAGAGACACGGGGAGACAGAGACACGGAGAGACAGAGACACGGGGAGACAGAGACACAGAGACACGGGGAGACAGAGACACGGGGAGACAGAGACACAGAGACACGGGGAGACAGAGACACGGGGAGAGAGAGACACAGAGACACGGGGAAACAGAGACACAGAGACACGGGGAGACAGAGGCACGGGGAGACAGAGACACGGGGAGAGAGAGTCACAGAGACACGGGGAGAGAGAGACATAGAGACACGGGGAGAGAGAGACACAGAGACACGGGGAGAGAGAGACACAGAGACACGGGGAGACAGAGACACAGAGACAAGGGGAGATAGAGACACAGAGACACGGGGAGACAGAGACACAGAGACACGGGGAGACAGAGAGACACAGAGACACGGGGAGACAGAGACACGGGGAGAGAGAGACACAGAGACACGGGGAGACAGAGAGACAGAGACACAAAGACACGGGGAGACAGAGACACAGAGACACGGGGAGACAGAGACACGGGGAGACAGATACACGTGGAGATAGAGACACAGAGACACGGGGAGACAGATACAGAGAGACATGGGGAGACAGAGAGACAGAGACACAGAGACACAGAGACACGTGACTTTTCCGAAAGAACCAAGAATATGAATTCCTGCAGTCACGAAAGTTTTACGTCAAGTTGGTGGTGATGATGGTGATGGTGGTGTTCATGATGGTGATGGTGGTGATGATGGTGGTGGTGATGATGGTGGTGATGATGATAGTGGTGATGGTGATGATGATGGTGATGATGGTGATAATGATGATAGTGGTGGTGATGATCGTAATGATGATGGTGATGATGATGGTGATGATGATGGTGATGATGGTGATGATGGTGATGATGATGATGGTGATGATGATGGTGATGATGGTGATGATGATGGTGATGATTATGGTGGTAGTGGTGATGGTGGTGATGGTGGTGATGGTGGTGATGATGATGGTGGTGGTGATGATGATGGTGGGAGTGGTGGTGATGATGGTGGTGATGATTATGGTGGTAGTTGTGGTGATGGTGATGATGATGATGATTATGGTGGTAGTGGTGGTGGTGGTGATGGTGATGATGATAGTGGTGGTGGTGATGATGGTGATGATGATGGTGATGATGGTGATGATAATAGTGGTGGTGGTGGTGATGATGATGGTGATGATGATGGTGATGGTGTTGATGGTAATGATGATGGTGATGATGATGGTGGTGATGATAGTGGTGGTGGTGATGATGGTGATGATGGTGATGATGATGGTGATGATGGTGGTGGTGATAATGGTTTTGATGATGGTGGTGAAAGTGGTGGTGGTGGTGATGATGGTGATGATAATGGTGGTGATGGTGATGATGATGGTGATGATGATGGTGATGATGATGGTAATGATGATGGTGGTGATGATGGTGATGATGATGATGGTGATGATGATGGTGATGATGATGGTGGTGATGATGGTGATGATGATGATAATGATGGTGATGGTGATGATGGTGATGATGATGGTGATGATGATGGTGATGATGATGGTGGTGATGATGATGGTGATGATGATAATGATGGTGATGGTGATGATGATGGTGATGATGATGGTGATGATGGTGGTGATGATGATGGTGATGATGATGGTGATGATGATGGTGATGATGATGATAATGATGGTGATGATGATGGTGATGATGTCACCATTGCTTCACGTCCGCTGTTGCTTTTCTTGTCTCTTTCTTGGGCGGCCTGACCACCACCACCACCAACAAAAGTCAACAACAGTAGTCAACAACAACAACAGCATCCACAGCCACGCGTACAACACCTAGACGAGTGGACATCTGTTTGGTTGGAGGTGAAGGGGGTGACTGGCACTATACACTACACTATACACTACTACACACTACACTATACACTACTATACACTACACTACTATACACTACACTATACACTACACTACTATACACTACACTATACACTACACTACTATACACTACACTATACACTACACTATACACTACTATACACTACACTACTATACACTACACTACTATACACTACTACACTATACACTACTACACACTACACTATACACTACTATACACTACACACTACATTACTATACACTACTATACACTAAACTACTATACACTACACTATACAGTACTATACACTACACTACCATACACTACACTACTATACACTACACTATATACTACACTATACACTACACTACTATACATTACACTACTATACACTACACACTACACTATACACTACACTACTATACACTGCACTATACACTACTATACACTACACTACTATACACTACACTATATACTACACTACTATACACTACACTATACACTACACTATACACAACACTACATTATACACTATACACTACATTTTACACTACACTATGCACGACACTATACACTACACCATACACTACACTATTCACTACACTAAACACTACACTACTATACACTACACTATACACAACACTACATTATTCACTACATTTTACACTACACTATACACTACATTTTACACTACACTACACACTACACTATACACTACACTATACACTACACTACTATACACTACACTATACACTGCACTATACACTACTATACACTATACCATACACTACACTATACACTGCACTATACACTGCACTATACGCTACACCATACACTACATCTTACACTACACTATGCACTACACTAAACACTGTCGCTGTACCAGTGACGAATTGGCACGTTCTGTTTACGTGACACCAACATTACTGGACGGCTGATGACGATTAAACCACTTCTATTAATGGGACGGCGACCTCGCCCCGTTCCTCAATATCAGCATGGATGGGTGGCCAGATCGTCCGCTCGCGCACTTGCTCACAACACGAGACGGCACTTTGCCCGTCGGTCTTCCGAGAGGCTACCTGGGGGCGGGTATAGAGGGGATGTGGCGGTGGCGGTGGTGGCGGTGGTGGTGGCGGTGGTGGTGGTGGCGGTGGTGGTGGTGGCTCTTTTGCCTTTAGCTTTGTGGTCACCTTTTCTTGCAGAAGAGACACATCGCACCCAGCGTCAGCGCCAGCGCTGCAGGCAGCAGCATGGCCAGTAGGACGGGTTCAATACCGAGCCCTGTGCATTCGTACGCACACACACACACATACACACGTACACATGTACACACACACAGACATACACACACAGACACACATACACACGTACATACACATGTACACACACACAGACATACACACACACGTACACACACATGTACACACACATGTACACACACACAGACATACACATACACACACATGTACACACACATGTACACACACACAGACATACACACACAGACATACACACACATGTACACACACGTGTACACACACACAGACATACACACACAGACATACACACACATGTACACACACGTGTACACACACACAGACATACACACACACATACACACACATGTACACACACGTGTACACACACACAGACATACACACACATGTACACACACATGTACACACACACAGACATACACACACACACATACACACGTACACACATATACATACACATGTACACACACACACGTACACACGTACACACATACATACACATGTACACACACACAGACATACACATATACACACATGTACACACACGTACACACACATGTACACACATACATACACATGTACACACACACACGTACACATATACATACACATTTACACACACACACAGACATACACACACTCACATACACACACATGTACACACACACACAAGTACACACATACATTCACATGTACACACACACAGACATACAACAACAACAACAACCGCCATTCGCCACTAAGTGGCGGTGACGTCACCACGACGCTTGTGCCAGGCCATGTGCACCCTGAGGCCACGTGAAGTGTCGAACGCCCGCTGGCAGGAGGTCACGGGGCAGACCCAGGTGCCACGGGTCGACTGACTGAGATGACTGGCTGATGCACCACCTGTGCCCCCTACTGTGCCAACCTGCTGTGCTTTAGCCACCCGGCGCTCCGCTCGTTGTTCTGAGCGTCGCTCCTCCGCCCTCCGTTGTTGTTGGAGGGTGACTACATCCAACTGCCCAGTAGCATCCTTCACGAGCCTCCTCCACAGAGGCCGATCTTGACACCGCTGGTACCAGTCATCGGCAAGTCCACTCAGCTCCACGTCCTCCTGTACCACATCACTCCATCTCTTTTCTAGCCCGTGCCAGCCGATCCGGCTGAACAAAAGCTGTTTCGGCATGCGGTGGCTGGGCATGCGGGCTACATGACCCAGCCAACGCAGCCTTGCCTGCCGGAGGAGCTCACCGATGGGACCTTGCCCAGATCTTTCAAGGATTTGTGAGCTCCTCACACAATCTAGTCTGGTTAAACCCAGGATGGATCGTAGGTAGGCCAGCCTAAATGTTTCTAACCGGCGAAGATGCCCCAATAGGGGGGTCCACGTTTCGCAAACGTAGAGAAGGGAGGCAATGACCGTGGCCGAGAAGACCTGAAGCTTAGTGCGGAGCGACAGACCAGGTAGCTTCCACACAGCGTTACGCAATCGATGAAAAGATATTGCCGCTCGACTGATTCAGAGTGAGACCTCTGCTGTTAAACTGGAGCCGGCCATAAGCACACTGCCCAGGTATGGGAAACTCTCCACTCTCTCCACAACTGCCCCATCACCGATTGGGAGTTGTGGGGGTGGAGTGTCCGATGGTACAAAATACCCAGGCAGGTGCTTAGTTTTGGTGGGGCTGATGGTAAGGCCCCATCTCTTAGTGGCACGCTCCAGTCTCAGCAGCAGCGTCTCCAACTCCTCCTCTGAATGAGCAGCTATTACCAAATCATTGGCATACATAACGTGGTTGAGCAATAGGGAGCCATCCCTTGACCGCACCCGGGCATCGATCAGCCTCCCATTATATCTGTACCATATGGAGATTCCCCCGGTACAGCTATTGAAGGCTTCCAGAACTACTTGGTCAAAATAGATGTTAAATAATGTGGGAGCCAGAGGACATTCCTGTCGCACCCCAAGGTGTACAGGGAATGGCTCTGACTCCCGGCCACGTAGTTTTACCCGGGCCCGCTCACCATCATGAAGGTCCTTAATGATCGTGAGCAGAGGATCAGGGACTCCAAAAGCACGAAGAACAACCCAGAGCCCAGGGCCTACTGATGGTATCATAGGCCTTGACCAGGTCAATATACACACACTCACATACATACACACTCGCACATACACACACTTACATACATACACACTCACACATACACATGTACATACACACACGTACACACACACATGTACACACACACAGATATACAACAACAACCGCCATTCGCCACTAAGTGGCGGTGACGTCACCACGACGCTTGTGCCAGGCCATGTGCACCTTGAGGCCACGTAACGTGTCGAACGCCCGCTGGCAGGTCACGGGGCAGATCCAAGTGCCACGGGTCGACTGACTGAGATGACTGGCTGATGCACCACCTGTGCCCCCTACTGTGCCAACCTGCTGTGCTTTAGCCACCCGGCGCTCCGCTCGTTGTTGTGAGCGTCGCTCCTCCGCCCTCCGTTGTTGTTGGAGGGCGACTACCTCCAACTGCCCAGTAGCATCCTTCACGAGCCTCCTCCACAGAGGCTGATCTTGACACCGCTGGTACCGGTCATCGGCAAGTCCACTCAGCTCCACGTCCTCCTGTACCACGTCACTCCATCTCTTCTCTAGCCCGTGCCGCGCCCGTTTAGCCCCCTCGATCCGGCCGAACAAAAGCTGTTTCGGCATGCGGTGGCCGGGCATGCGGGTTAAATGACCCAGCCAACGCAGCCTTGCCCGCCGGAGGAGCTCACCGATGGGACCTTGCCCAGATCTTTCAAGGATTTGTGAGCTCCTCACACAATCCAGCCTGGTTAAACCCAGGATGGATCGTTGGCAGGCCAGCCTAAATGTTTCCAACCGGCGAAGATGTTCCATTAGGGGGGGTCCACGTTTCGCAAGCGTAGAGAAGGGCGGTATCTGCGTGAGTAGTCTATGGGTCTCTGTGTGTATAGTGTAGTGTATAGTGTAGTGTATAGTGTAGTGTATAGCGTAGTGCATGTGGCATCTGAACGGCCACAACCACAATCAGCGGCCACAACCACAACAACAACCACCACAACCACAACAACACCCATCGCCGTCCACCACTACAGCCAGCGGTCCCGCCTGGCCGCTTGCACTCCGGACTTGAGGGCCCAGCCGATAACGAGAACCATGCAAATTAGCGGAACGGGAAACAAAAACCACCACCACCCTAGCCCCTACCCCCCCCAGATAGACTCCAGCAGGGCTGTAGGGGCAAGTGCTGTGATTAGCAGCAGCAGTGCCCATTAGACACACAGACAAAGGTCCCCCGCGTAGCCTCTAGCAGGGCTGTAGGGGCAAGTGTTGTGAGTAGCAGCAGCAGTGCCCATTAGATACACAGACAAAGGACCCCCGTGTAGCCTCTAGCAGGGGCAAGTGTTGTGAGTAGCAGCAGCAGTGCCTATAGACACAGAGATAAAGGTCCCCCGTGTAGCCTCAAGTAGGGCTGTAGGGGCAAGTGCTGTGAGTAGCAGCAGCAATGCCTATAGACACAGTCAAAGGTCCCCCGTGTAGCCTCTAGAAGGGCTGTAGGGGCAAGTGCTGTTGGTAGCAGCAGTGCCTATAGACACACAGCCAAAGGTCCCCCGTGTAGCCTCTAACAGGGCTGTAAGGGCAAGTGCTGCGAGTAGCAGCAGCAGTGCCCATTAGATACACAGACAAAGGTCCCCCGCGTAGCCTCTAGCAGGGCTGTAGGGGCAAGTGCTGTGAGTAGCAGCAGCAGTGTCTATAGACACACAGACAAAGGTCCCCCGTGTAGCCTCTAGCAGGGGCAAGTGCTGTTAGTAGCAGCAGCAGTGCCCTATAGACACACAGACAAAGGTCCCCCGCGTAGCCTCTAGCAGGGCTGTAGGGGCAAGTGCTGTTAGTAGCAGCAGCAATGCCTGTACACACAGACAAAGGTCCCCCGTGTAGCCTCTAGCAGGGGTAAGTGCTGTTAGTAGCAGCAGCAGTGCCTATAGACACACAGACAAAGGTCCCCCGTGTAGCCTCTAGCAGGGCTGTAGGGGCAAGTGCTGTGATTAGCAGCAGCAGTGCCCTATAGACACACAGACAAAGGTCCCCCGTGTAGACTCTAGCAGGGCTGTAGGGGCAAGTGCTGTAAGTAGCAGCAGCAGCGTCTACACACACACAGACAAAGGTCCCCCGTGTAGCCTCTAGCAGGGCTGGAGGGGCAAGGGCTGTGAGTAGCAGCAGCAATGCCTATACACACAGACAAAGGTCCCCCGTGTAGCCTCTAGCAGGGGCAAGTGCTGTGAGTAGCAGCAGCAATGCCTATACACACAGACAAAGGTCCCCCGTGTAGCCTCTAGCAGGGGCAAGTGTTGTGAGTAGCAGCAGCAATGCCCTATAGACACACAGACAAAGGACCCCCGTGTAGCCTCTAGCAGGGGCAAGTGCTGTGAGTAGCAGCAGCAGTGCCTATAGACACAGAGATAAAGGTCCCCCGTGTAGCCTCAAGTAGGGCTGTAGGGGCAAGTGCTGTGAGTAGCAGCAGCAATGCCTATAGACACAGTCAAAGGTCCTCCGTGTAGCCTCTAACAGGGCTGTAGGGGCAAGTGGCTGTTAGTAGCAGCAGCAGTGCCCTATAGACACACAGACAAAGGTCCCCCGTGTAGCCTCTAGCAGGGCTGTAGGGGCAAGTGCTGTGAGTAGCAGCAGCAATGCCTATACACACAGACAAAGGTCCCCCGTGTAGCCTATAGCAGGGCTGTAGGGGCAAGTGCTGTGAGTAGCGAGTAGCAGCCCGGCCGCCTTTGTCTACCCTAGTGTACACGCACAAACACAAAGATCCCCCGTGTAGCCTTGACAGACTGTAGGGGCAAGTGCTGTTAGCGAGTAGCAGCACCTACGAAGGCGAACGGCACTGTGGCTACACACACAGAGGGGGTGGGTGGCCAGCACCACCACGCCCGGCCGCCTTTGTCTCTCCCCCAATGACAATCAGCAAGCACGACAACAGCCATTC